CCTTCTTATCACTTTCTCCTTTTTGGCTTCTGCAATGCCAAATCCTTTGCCTCATCTGTCACAATCATTTATTTTTTCCTTGAAGGGTCTCCTTACACCAGCTTTAAAAATGTTCCTGTTCCCTAGGATTCAATCTTAGATTCTCTTCTCTTTTTTCCCTGAGATATTATTTCTTGTCCATACTTTAGAAACAACTCTCACCCACGTACTCACAACATCTACATCTGCTCAATCCTTTTTTTGAGCTATAGAACTACATTTTCATCTGCCTTTTAGACACCTGAAGGATGATGTGCCCCAAGACATTGTTTTTGTTTTTCATGAAGGGACAGGTTTAGTTAATTGGTAAATAATTTCTAAATTACATTTTAAAATTTAAAATCACCTCCTCATACCACAAGTAATTCAAACCAAACTTGTTCAAAAACACTACTTTTCTCTCTGAATTCTCTCTTGATTCATGTCCTCACTAGCAACCCAGGTGTCCAAGTCAGAATTATGGGAATCATCTTAATCCTTCCTCTCAGTTATCCCCTTCAGTAATTCTACAGAGATTTGTTAATTCTGTTTTCCAAATATCATATACTTCCTTCCCTACATGTTTTCACCAGTTGAGAAACAGAAAATGAGTCAAATGGAAGCAAAAGATAGTATAAATTTTGTTATTAGAAATGGGGGAAGAGAAGTGGCCCGTGGCTAGATGGACTGAAAGTATCACTCTGATACTCCTTGAGTGGATGGGAGCTCCTGGCTTTCGGACCTTGGGAGTTGAGAAATAATGGCTTCCCCTAATCATTCCACATTATTTTCTTCATTCCTCCAGCCAACACTTTAGGCCCTCATGGTCTCTGTTCCAGACTATGGCATTTGTCTCCTAATTTGCCCAGTTTACTCTCCACATGAATTCATTCATTCACTCATGAAACACTAAAAACAGAATATGCTAGGCAATGTGTGCCTAAAGTTTCCTAAGCTTGAAATTTTATTTTAAAATTCCATGTGAAATTTTTATCTGTAAAAAATTATCTATTTTAAATTAAAATAATTTTGAAAAGTACTGGCCAATTAAGTTGCATAACTTATTATTTCTTCCTAGTGAAGAACAATAAAAACAATGACTTGGAGAGTAAGGTTGGTGCCTGGGAAAGATTTGCCATTCTTGCCTGAGGCTTTGGGTGCTTGAACTGCCATTTGAAAAACATTCCAGTACTGGAAAGAGCTGGGGTTTTAATCTGGCCTATGGGGTTTTACATGCTGCCTGTCTACTTACTGTAGGCTATGGCAGCTAGGCAGATGGTTTGCTCGCTTTGAACTTCATTTTCCTCATATGTAAAACAGTGATAAGAATATCAATCATATAGAGATGATCAAGTGACACTGTTTGGCAAAGCTCTTGTCAGGCACTGAGCCTCAGACATGGAAGGCAAATAAGAATTCCCCGTGGGAGGTTGTACCTGGTCAGCTAGATGATCAAGGGAAAAGGATGTTGTAGATAGAGTAAATGGAACATGCAGATAAATAGAGATAAACAGAAACAGAGATGAGAGAGCAAGGCCTGCTCAGCAAACATACGTATTTTGCAGTGATGAGAATGTTGGGTGCTGGGATGTGAGCCACAAGAGACGAGGCTGATAGAGGCAGGGCCAGGTCATGAAGGGCTTGTGTGCTGCACCAGACAGCTGTGATTTCATGTTAAAGGCAATGGGGAGCTATTTGAAAGTTTTGAGTAGAGAATTAATACTATTACATTTTAGGTTCTAATTACTCTTCTGTGTGGAAATCGAAGATATAGGTGGGCCCTTAGGAGGCTAAGTCATCCAGTTGAAAACTCTAGAAATCCTGTTCTCAAGCAGAGGTAGAATGGATAGGTTGTGAATAGGAGTTAGAACCAACAGGACTTGATACCTGTAGAATGCAAGTGATCAGATAGAAGGAATCTGGGGGTACTTTCCAGTTACTCTGCCTGGGGGATGTGGTATCGAGATATGGAGTTCTGGAAAAGGAGAACATGTTTTGGCAGCTTAGACTGAATCAATTAATGGGTCAAAGCTTTTGTAAGGCTGGATGTCAAGTTGCATAAATGAGTCTAAGCCATGGGTGAAGGATACGTCTCAGGCAGAGAGTGAAAGTGAGAAGACAACAGGTCAGAACGTTAAGCACATCATCATTTAAGAGGAATTCACCAGGGAGAAATGAGGATGTTGCATCAGAGAGGTGAGAGGCTTCAAGGCACGGGATAGTCTGGACCATAACAGAGTTCTCCCTTGGGGTCAGCCTGGTGGTGCAGCAGTTAAGTTCACATGTTCCGCTTCAGAAGCAAATGTAGGTTCTTGATATGAATTCCCCAACATCCCTGCCTGTAAGCCTTAGGCGCCCCTTGGATAAGACCCCTGCGAAGCTTAGAAAACCTGGGTCTTTTTGGTTTGAATTGACCAATCCAGACCTAGTCCAGGAACTCCAAAGTGCTCCACCCATGGACCCTAATAAAGGCATGAGCCCCAGGTCCTGTCTCTACTCTAACTTCATCTTCTTATGTGGTCCCTCAAGGCAGTTCTGTATACTTCCTCGTGGACTTGTGAGTAATAAACTTCTCTATTTCAATTTCTCTTGTGGTCTGTTGCTAAACTATGGCTCACCATCTAGCACCCTGTGCTACACGTAACAAATGTTGAATTAACAAAGTCATAACAGCACTATCCTAGCCTCATACAAGAGACAATCTTCACCAATCAGCCCAGCCAGAGATTCTGCAGGCCTCTACCAACCATTTCCCTCCTCAGGGAGAAGTAGGCAGCTGTGATTTTTGTCAGCTTGCTCTGTGGTGAGAGCCAGGAGGGGGAGCTGTGGTGTCTGTTAGTCCAAGCTACTGTCTCCCTTCTCCCCGAAGCTGTTAGGCTGTGGTGGACCCCACTGAGCCAGGACTGGCAGGATTGAGGTCAGTCCTCTGGGGAAGCCCCCTCCTGGGAATATTGGTGTGCTGGTCACTGATGTTGCTGGGAGAAGCTGGGAACTAGGGGGTCTTTCTGATCCTAGGGCACTACTCCAGGGTCAGGGACTTCAGCCAGAGGGTGTCTGGAATCTGCTTCACTCACTGGCTTCAGAGAACCTGGTTTTGCAGTCATCTGGAGTGCAAAAGTTTTTCACTTAGTTTCTGGATTTCTCACAAAGGGAATTTATCTGTAAATTATTGTTGAATTGGTGAGTTTGTGGGGGAGAAAGATGGTCTAAAGCTTGCTATTTGCTATCTTGCTAATGTCGCTGCTGATCCTTGATTTGTCAAGAATGATGTTGGGGAAAAATTAGTTTCATGGATATGCAGATCATGACTAAGAGAAAGATCTCAGCCCTAACTCCTCCTTATAGATTTTCAATCCGTCCTTTTTTTGTTTTTTTTAGATTTACCCCTTTACCCCAGATTTCCTTGGTTTGTGATGTCTCCAATTCTGGTGCATAGAGTTTCATCTGAAAAATGGTCTTCCTTCTCTTTGACATTTCCCTGAGTGCACGCTTAGGGTCCACCTTCAACAGTTTTGCTTTTCACCAATTTTCCAGAAAAGTTACAATCTTTGCTGTTACCTGTTCTCTTTGTCCCTGCCTGATTATTCCTTTTCACAGTCATTTTAGCAGTGTTTGGGGAGCCAGTGGAGATAAATGTTTGCATTCTACAGGTCTAACCACTCTTACTTCTCTTCCTACCTACCACCAAACCTAGCACAGCAAGAGGGAGGCAAGGGGATGGGGGACTCGGAGGACTGAGGAGGGTGAGAGGGAGGGGGATGTGAAGGGATGGGGCAGTGAGGAGGGAGGGGGTATTCTGGGGGCCCAGTGCAAAGGGCCAAGTGCAAGAGGGAGGGTGAGGAGCTGTGAGGCGAAAGGATGACCTGGATGGGGGATTGAGTGGATGGGGTTGGGGGAGAGTGAGGCTGGGTGGGTGTGCAAGAGAGGATGGAGGAATGAGGAGGCAGAGAGAGGTAGATGGTGAGGGAGGATGAGGGGAAATGGGGGGGGGGTAAGGGGCAGGTGGAGTCAGTAGGGTGAGAGAAGCATGTTGGTGAAGGGGGCGGTGGGGAGGGACAGTGGGAGGGAGATGAAGAGAGAAATGTGAGGGAGAAAAGAAACCTTAGGGAGATTTGAGGCCAGAAGGTGCATGAGGGGAAACTGTGAGAGAAAGTGGTGAGGGGAGAAACTGAGCCGGGAGGGGCACGAGAGAAAACTGAAGAGAGAAGGTGGTGAAGGGGAAACTGTGAGGGGAGAAGACGGGCAGGAGGACTCTGAGGGGAGAAGGCGGGGAGGGGGGAACTGAGGGGAGAAGGGGGAGGGGGACACTGAGGGGAGAAGGCGGGGAGGGGGAAGCTGAGGGGAGAAGGCAGAGAGGGGGACACTGAGGGGAGAAGGCGGAGAGGGGGACACTGAGGGGAGAAGGCGGGGAGGGGGACACTGAGGGGAGAAGGCGGGGAGGGGGACACTGAGGGGAGAAGGCGGGGAGGGGGACACTGAGGGGAGAAGGCGCGGAGAGAAGGAGGAGGAAGGAAAAGTGTGAGGAGAGAAGAGGCGTTAAGGGGAAACTGCGGGACGACGCGGTACTGTGGGATGAGAGGGGATGACGCACGGCCGGAATGGGAGGAGCTTGGCGAGGGGCCAGGTAGCATCCCAGGTGGGAACGCCAAGACCAGGGCCGCCCCCCGAGCCGCTGCAGCCTGGGACCAGGTCCCGCTGTGTCGGGCCACTCTGCCCGGTGTCTCCCCCGGTTACCAGGACGCCTTCCGGATCTCGACCTTTTGACCCAACACGGAAAAGGGGCCTTGGGTTCGCAAAGGCATTCTCCGAAGGATCAGCTTCAGGGGAGGGAGAGACTTCACTGGCCTCTAGGGGACACTGGGGAGAAGGCGGGGAGGGGGACACTGAGGGGAGAAGGCGGGGAGGGGGACACTGAGGGGAGAAGGCGCGGAGAGAAGGAGGAGGAAGGAAAAGTGTGAGGAGAGAAGAGGCGTTAAGGGGAAACTGCGGGACGACGCGGTACTGTGGGATGAGAGGGGATGACGCACGGCCGGAATGGGAGGAGCTTGGCGAGGGGCCAGGTAGCATCCCAGGTGGGAACGCCAAGACCAGGGCCGCCCCCCGAGCCGCTGCAGCCTGGGACCAGGTCCCGCTGTGTCGGGCCACTCTGCCCGGTGTCTCCCCCGGTTACCAGGACGCCTTCCGGATCTCGACCTTTTGACCCAACACGGAAAAGGGGCCTTGGGTTCGCAAAGGCATTCTCCGAAGGATCAGCTTCAGGGGAGGGAGAGACTTCACTGGCCTCTTCCAAAGCGGTAGGTTCCCTCCCCCACCACTTCCCGCCTCTTAAAGAAAGCGGTATCTCACAGTGTGGCTGAAAACTGAACAAACGCAATTCTTTTTGAGTTGTATTTTCTCCCAGAACAGCGGGTGTAATATGATGTTTTGAGGCCCTCCCTCCGTCCCTTCCTTCCTTCTTTCCCTCCCTCCATCCTTCTAAAAAACTTTTTATTTTGAATTAATTTAAGACTCACAAGAAGCTGCAAAAATAGTGTAGCCAAAGGAAAAAAAAACCCATATCCTTCAACCATCTTTCCCCAGT